AATCTTATCATCTAAATTAAATATTAATGAACTTAAAGTTTGTAACTGAGTTTTATCTACTACATTTAGAAGTTGTTGTTTAATAGCATCTATTTCACTATTATCATTGAGTTTGATTTCTAATTCAGTTAATTTTTCTTCACTTATACCTGGTTTCTATTAATTGTTCAAGATCTCTTTTTTGTTTTGTAACCTTATCATCTAAATTAGATATTAATTAACTTAAACTTTGTAACTGAGTTGTATCTACTAGATTGTCTAATTGTTGTTGAATGGCGACTATTTCACTATTATCATTGAGTTTGGTTTCTAATGCGGCTAATTTATCTTCACTTATACCTGGAATAATATTATCTATTAATTGATTAAGGTCTATTTTTTGGTTTGTTATCTTATCATCTAATTTAGATATTAATGATTTTAAATTTTTTAATTGAGTTGTATCTACTAGAGTGAGTAATTGTTTTTTAATAGCGACTATTTCACTATTATCATTAAGTTTAGTTTCTAATGCGGCTAATTCATCTTCATTCATACCTGGAATAATATGATCTATTAGTTGTTTAAGGTCTATTTCTGTATGAAATATTGTGTTTAAGTGCAGCAGCGTCAATTCTATTGATGGGTTCTTCTCCTGGTTTGGGTTTATCGTTTTCGTCTAATCGTAGATCTAACCTTGTACCTGGACCAGTGTAATTATGACCGGGAAGATGTTTTTCTCCGGGGTATTTTGCCCATGGAAATCCAGGAAGAGAATCTAATGATTTTTGAATGTCAGAACCGAAATAAGTTTTGGGCAATTATCATTGACATTTTTATCCAATAATTTTAAAACCACTGCCTTTTTTATTTTTTAATCTTTTATTTCGCATTTCTCTTATATGTTGTAATTCTTTCAACTCGTTAGATCTTTTCACTGCTTCGCTTATATTTACTCCTGCTTTTGCTACAGATCCAAGAGCTTGCGCCTCTGAGGAAATGAGGGATTTGTTGTTTGAGACAAAGTTGGCTACTTTTGGGATGAGAGATGATAGAGCTGAGAAGAAACCGTCTCCTTCGAATTTGTGTTGTTCGTGTTTTAAAATTAAACTCATTCTGTTTTTAAATGAGTTAATTTGAAGATATTATAGGGCTGGTGCGCTTGGGGGCTTGGTAAACGGGTACCCCTATAGGCTCCGAGTTTATAAATCGCGTGCCTGGTGGGATTGTTTGTTTGGTGGGCTTGGGGTGCAGCAGGCAAAGGAGTAGTATATGAGATTATGGATAGGGAGCGGTTTTTATAACTTAAAAAAAACAATTGCTTTTTGACGTTAGCAAAAAAGTGATTTTTTTTTAAAAAAAAATTATAAAAGGTGCCCCCTATCCATAATCTCATATACATAATCTTATATAGCATATAAACTATCTAACTACAAACATATTCTGTAGGCTAACTTGAACTATACACCATATAAACTATTTAATTACAATGCTATTGCGTATGATAACCGTATACCATATACTGCCTTACAAACATATTCCGTAGGCTAACT